CATTGATAAAAAGACCCAAACGAACGTTCAAATAAAACGAAAAGTCTTTTGCTTTAGGTTTTTCGCTTTTCATTTTGCTTGTTTTTTTTTTTGGTTTTTCTTTTTGGGCGAGCCCGGAGTCTGCTCTAAATTGCACTTTATTTGCGGTTTGTTGATTTTATTGCACAACTTTGTTTACAATTCTGCTTAAATTTCATTACACGATCCCAGTGAAACGAACCAAACGAATCGAGGAGCGAGAAGCAAAGCGAGAAGCAACCAACCAGGCGGACATTCAAAATGAATGACGAAACCTTGATATGATTTAATATTTGAGCAGTGCCCAAACCAAATGCCAAGTGGACCAAATTCTGCTGCATGCACCATTTCAGATAGATATATATAAATATTATATATATATATGTATATATATTAAATGGGTCAATTGTGTATTGAACGAGTGACAAATCTGGTTAGTTAAATGGCTGTGCTTAATTAGTTGAGATATTTTTATTTGTTGTTGTTGTAGTAAATGCTTGGAAAGAGATTTTAAATGTAGAACTATGCTAGGGGGAATGAAGTATAAAGGAAGTAAAGAGCGTAAAAGAGCGAAAAGCAACTGTTATTTTCGTTTCAATTAAATACACTTTCAGACCTTGTAGAGGATATTATGGTTTTGTCATGATAGAAGGGAACGTCTTCGATCCCGTATAGTATATATATTCAAGATCAACATCGAAGTCTAACTTTATATAGGCCATATCTGTGGGCAGGTCGCTCGGGTGTAACCTTTGGAGGTGCCTCTCTGTGATGGACTCAGCCAGGACTCTGGCGACTGCTGAAAGAGTTGATCTGATCTCCGACCTTTGTTAGGCGAAGATGGCGTCGCTTGTGACGTACCATGGGAGGCTGGCCGCCTTGCATGCTGCCTTGGTTCGGACTTTTCTAATGCGATTGAGCTGGTGTGCTGACGCCGTGTCCCCGACTTGGACGGCGTAGGTCCAGGTGTGCTTTTTTTTATACCCTGAACCTATTAAAAATGGGTAAACAGGGTATAATGTATTTGTGCAAATGTATGTAACAGGCATAAAGTATATACATATATTCTTGATCAGCATCAAGAGCCGAGTCGATCTAGCCATGTCCGTCTGTCTGCCCGTCCGTCCGTCTATCCGTCCGTCTGTCCGTATGTATGAACGCAAGGATCTCAGAACCAATAAGAGCTAGAGACTTGAAATTTTAGCTATAGGTCCTCCTAGTCCTCGCGCAGATCGGGTTTGTTTCCGATATTCGATAACTTTCCCCGTTTCCAAGTAATCGATAATCGATATAATCGATATCGAAATCCAGTTTTTTGAGCAATTTCGGAAAATAATATGAGCTAGAGTCACCAAAATTGACATGTAGCTTCTAGAATAGTATATATGTATATATCAAGTATTTATCATTTTATACCTATCGCCTGTCGGAAGGAGAGGGTTCAGGGTATCCCCTAGTCGGGAGCTCCCGACTAGAACCTCATACTTGTCTTAATTTTTCTAGCGAGTCTTGCAGCGAATCGGTTAGAAACCAGAATTTAATTTTTTGATTGATCATGAATCGAATTCCTAATTGTTTTGGTTGCAGAAAAAAGTTGAGCCTTATCTTAAACCGAACCATACTTGATTAAATAGTTTGGTTCAAAGCCAATTGTGTTTTTCTTTTAAACGTATTATTGCACAGCGGAGCCATTAATACGTTTACTAGGTTTTTGCAGGCATCTAAGGTTTGCAGCCATTTTTATACAGATCATTTTCTGACCGAAGGGAACTTCATCTATCTACAGATATATACATCTTTCATATTTAAGACATAGTTACTGTTCGTTGTGTGCTCTTGTAAACAGTTCTTAATTCGTTTTTTAATTCAATTGCTTAATTTTCTTTGCTCACACACACACACACACACACACATGCATATGCAGACAGCCCGCAACGCAAATGGCATGCACAGTATCTGTGTCTGCATCTGTGTATCTGTATCTTTAACTACCTTGTGCCTGCATCGCGTTGAGCTTTCATATTATTACCAACCCCACCACCCTCTCCTATCCCCTTGCCCGCCCCCGCTCGCTCAGTCACACTCGCAGTGTTCATTTTATTTAATTTGTCTGCCTGTTTGCTTATTTGTTTTGATTTCTCATGCTTCGTTTTCTGCTTGCCTCTGTTTTCTTCTTTTGCTCTTGGTACTTCTTCTTCTTCTTGTTAACATTGTTGCACGAATTGCAAATCGGTGGAAGTCTTTTTTTTTTCATTTTTTTTTGTGTGTAGGTGACTTTTTGGTGCCGACTTCCATTCACTGAAAGCCGCCGCCGCCAACTGTTCCTCAAGTATTTTGACCTTTGCCTTGCAGCCTTTGACCGATGGCGTGCTTTTCATATATAACAACTAAATCACAGAGTCATTAAAGCCAACTACAAATGCTTACTGAAACGTTGCTACAAGCACAATGAACTTGGCTTAAACCAAGAGTACAGGCAACAAAAAATTTGTTTATGTGTGCCCCCCATAAATGACGTATATTTAAAAAATACAATAAATAAAAAAAAACTAGTATTATTATTTTTAAATGTTATTATTATTATTTAAGTTTCTATTTATATTATATAATGAATTGTAAGAAAAATATAATTAATAATATTCAGGAAATACCTTTCTGTGTGTTTAAATACAAATTTACTTCAATTTTGCCAATTAGCCAATAATAATAAATCTTTCATCTGTTATATATTTTTTTGAGGCCTTACGCTATTTCTTTTTTTTTTATCTGGAATTTTAAACTGTACGAAATTTATTGGCACTTATTCCAGTTATCTTTTATAAATATATATTTTCCTTATACATTAAATCTGTGGCCTTCCGCAAGTTTTATTTAGTTTTATCTCAGCTTTCATCTTAGCTCAATAGATACAAGCATAACAAAGTTATTAACCCCCCCCCCCCCTGTTGTGACCTTATGAACAGCAAAATAAAAAACAAACACAAATCAGCGCCGACAATAAAAAAAGCGCCAAAAACTATGCAACGAAAAACACAAGTTTTAACCAAATGTGTATGTGTGCGATTCAGAGAGAGAGAGGGAGAAGGATAGAGTCTCAGGGAGATGGAGAGCATATGCAAGGACAGCAGCTCGCCTGGCTAGCAGGATAATCAAAAATGTTAATTTGGCAAAAACAACAACAACAACAACAAAAATAAAGAAATTGTTTGCAAGCAGCTGCCGCACAGGGCGACGCATTCCGTGCGATGTGAACTGCGCTGTGTGCGAGGCGCAAATGATGCGCCAGCTGCCATTATCGCAGCCTTCATTCATGGATACCAACCGATGGCAGCGGACGAGGACACAGCCGAAGCCGAGCACGAAGGCTCGCAGCAGCTGGAGCAGCAGCAGCGGGAGCAGCCTCCCGTGTCCTTCGTTTCGTGTGCGCGAAAAAAAGTTTGACGAGCACTGGAAGCGCAAACAGGGATAAGCACAATGGAAGTCACTGAAGCTGAGCGCACAAATGGAAGCGCATGGGAGCGAGCTTTAAGCTGCAGTTAAGAGCGCGCAAAAAGCCTACAAGTGGCTTGTAAGAGTGAAGCGAAGACAGCACCACACGTTACGCTCTCTTAACTCGCGCTTGTGCGACTCTCTTGCAGCGCTGTGTGGGCGTCGTGTAGTTTTCCCGTTTGTAAAAGCCATTTTTCATTCATGCGAATTTACTTTAAATTAATTTTTTTGTGGGGTCATAAATCATTTTTGGCTCTGGACCTACGCAGCGAGAGCATGTGCGCGTGTGTGTATGTGTGTTTGTACGTGTGTGTGTGTGCGAGAGCATAAGCGTGTGTGCGTGCGTGTGCCTGTATGGGCTCTTGTGCATGAATGAACGTGCGTGAAATTTGAAATAATTTGAGTTAGTTGCGTTCGCATTGAAGGATTTGGGTCAAGTGAGCTGTGGTCTAGAATTGGCTCTATAAATGTTAAGATATTGAGTAGTATCGATAACGATTCTTTACTTAAGTAGCTGTGTTTTTGAATTAAGCAGCTTTCAGTTTGGAGTACTTTCAGAAAGAGCAAAGAGTAAAATTGAGTTTGAATATTTTGCTAAGAAAACTTCAACTGAAAGCTGGAAGTAAGTGACTGAAATAATTGAAAATTTATTTCGATTGAAAACTATTTGGGCTATAATTTAATATTTTAAATAATACAACGTATTTTTAAATACTCTGTGTATTCGACAATTTATTATATTTGCGATTTTAATATGATTTAATGAAAAGATATTATCATGTGTTTTATTTGCCCGTCCGGCCAGCTGTGCCCCTTTTCACAGCTAATATTGTTAGTAACGCTATTAGAGCCTACAGCTTAGAAGAAGGGTGTTAATATCGATAACAATTGTAACAAAAATGCATTCCCTCTTGTTCAAAGCTTTAAAAATTTAATAATTTACAACAAAGGTAAACCAGTTTTAAAAAAATATCAATTTAAAATCCGCTCGAACTCGAGTACCAACTCAATATTCAATTGAGTGAGCCGCTAACCAAAGCTCTTATCTCACACCCTGTATGGCGCTCACACACACACACACACATGCAGAGAGTTGCGAAACTACCTCAAGCAAAGCTCAATGGCGCGCGCGCTCTTTCACACAGCCTCCCGAAAGTTCTTTTTTTGAGCTGTTGCCTAAGCCAACATGCAAACTAGTCGTCGAGTCGGATTAGGTTAAGTTGGGTCTCTCTTTGGGCGCTTCCAGCCAGTTGCTCGCAGCTTGCTTCCAGGCACGAGCGTGGTTGTCGGGACGAGCGCATTCCCAGTTCCCACGTTTTAGCATCCCCACGCTGTTTGGGGCATCCAATCGGTCTGCTGCAAGAGATGTTCGTTCGTGTGCGAGCGAGCTTAACGAAGCTCTCCGATTCGCCTGCTGCTGCTGCTGCAGTAGTCACTTCCAGCGTCGCCTGGCTGGCAATTGCGGGCTGGCAGCGCATTCAGTTGGTGTTCCGGTTTCGGGTTGTGCTGTTAGTTGCCTTTTCCTGCACAGCCAAAGCAGAGCCAAGCGGAAACGCGTCGCGGTCGTGCCTGTGTCTGTGTCTGTGTTTGTGACTTGGACTGTGACTGTGTATGGAAGCGCGTGCGTGCGTGTGTGCATGTGTGAGTTTGTTGTCTGTCGTCGCTTAGCACTGCGCGCGCGTTTTGTCAGTGTATGTGTGCTTGTTTGTGTGTGTGCGCGCGTGTGCCCGTGATTCTCTGTGCTTCTCTGTGCATATGTGTGTGTGTGCGTGTGCGTGTTAAAACAGTGTGACCATATATATATATATATATAAATATATACATAAATGTATGTGCGTGCCTGCGTTTATTGTGCACCAATATACATACACTAATACATAAGCACACATACATGGCAACATTTAAGCGCCCAGCAGGATGCTCAAGCAGCAGCTAAGAAACAAAAATGAGAAGAAAACAACACTAGCAGGTAAATCGGCAATGCCAAGTCAACTAGTCAGTCAGTTATAGTTATACATATATGTTTATATATATTTATATATATTTATATATATTTATATTTATATATGTGTATATCGAAGTGCGTGTGCGTGGAATTGAATATTTTTGCCTTGCGCTTTCCAACAGGAGGAAATTGATATTCTTATTTCTTGTGCTTTTTTGCAAAAAAAAAAAAAAACGGCACGAGGCTTGCTCTCTGCACTGTGTGTGCGTGTGCGTGTGTGCGTGTGTGTGTGTGTATGTTTGTGAAAATTCCATCATCATCATCATCATCGGGGCTCGCGCTGGCAACATTGTTGTACACATATTTCTTCTTCTTACACATCAGCGTCCTTCTGCCTGCCATCGCACGCGCTGCTTCCTGCCCAACTCTATTTCAACATCTATGTATTTTATTTACTGGTTGATTTGGCTCTTCATCTGCTACTTCTTCTGCTTCTATATTTTTTTTATTGCTGCGGAAAAGCGAAATGCGAAAAACGAATTGCAAATGGCAGGCAAATTTCTAATTGACCATCAAATAAATGTTTCAAATTGCAGCAGCAGCAAAAGCAACAGCAGCAGCCAAAAAGTATCTTTCAGATACATGTCAAGTGCAAGGCTGTGTGTGTGACTGTGTGGCTGTGTGTATAACAGGTGCCAAAAAATATATATATGGCAATGGCAATATTTTATGCTCGCATTGTGCCAGTATCTGCTTCTTCTTCTTCTTCCTTTTTGTTGTGGGCCAAAGTGGCCATAAAATAAAATCGTAAGAAATTGTTTTGACATTGTCAACAAGTGAACAACTTGTGAATATGGCTTATGAATAGAGTGAATATTTGATTGAAAAGTGAAAAGTCTCTTCATATAATTCGCAAGCAGTTTTAGCATGTTTTGACTTAAAAGCTTCGACATGCTTGCATCGTAGCTGAAAGCTTCAGTAGAGGTCCTGAAGTTGTCTAATACAATTAAATGGAACATTTTATAAAGATCTTTCGCTTAGGATTTTATCGTGGTTGAGGCATATTTTTTAAATTTATCTTCCATCTTAAAGGCCTATTAAATATCTAATGTCTAATATCTGCTTAACTTATTTCTTTTTAGCATAAATGCAACAACTGCACACAATGGATGTTAGAACTAATTGAAAAGAACACCATCAAAAAAATTAGAGCAAATAAAAAATACTGTTTTTTAATAGTTATGGCAAGCAATATTTTAATGTTTGAGTGAGAGGCACAGAAAAAAATAATAATACCAAAAAAGTGTTTGTGGTAAATATAAAAAAAACGGGAGAACCAATCGCAAAAAAAAAACACGAAATGAAAAGTGTGTGAAAAGCAAAAACAACTGAAAACCAAAGAAAATTCAATCTCTTACTGAAGCAATTGCAAAGGGTTAAAAAGAAAAACAGCACAAGCTATAAACATAAATTATGAAAAATGTTTAAGGCAACAAAAAGAAAAAGAAAATTTTGAAATTAATTGTAAATATTAGAAAGCTATAAAAATACTTTACATCTTCAACATATACAAACAAATACGAAAAGTAAATTTATAAAAACAAAAGACGGCCACATTTTTCGCTGAATGATTTTTAATATTAATTGTAATACCCAACATAAATTTGAATACAACATTTTCTATTATATAGAGAAAAAGTATTATAATTATATACTGGATATAAAGCATATAATAAACGAGAATCTCATATAAAATAGTTCATAAAAACTTAATAAGCAACTGAAACACGCACAAGATTGAACGAGAATGTTTATGATTTTACATCTAAGTATATATTTATGAAAATTTTCAATAAATTGGCTGCATTGATGATTGACGTATTGAATGTAGTTTATATGGCAACAGTTTTCCATGCAAATTTATTCATAATTCAAACATAAACAAGTCAGCAAATTTTCAATCATTGACATTCGTGACGTAACATATGCATATTCGATAATCGCAACTAATTAAAAATAATAATAAATACAAAAACAAATAATAATAATAAGAGATTAAATAATCACATTGAGCTACAACTAATTGTACTCCACAATTAAATTCATTAAATCAACTAAATCAACTGTATGAATACATCAATATTCATGTTCATCATAATTACATATAATTAAAAATATATATGACAAATGAAAATGCTCAAAATTTGATAAAATACTTAAAATATAATTATAACAAACAATAAATGGAATATTTATAGTATTCAGCTAGTTCAACTAAATCTTTATATATATACACGACGACAACCAACAAATTGGAAAGCGACAACATTTGACTTACTAAGTACAGAGAGTTAAAAGGTGAGTCGAAATAAACTAAAAGTTTTGTATATTCTCAACGTTTTTGATATAATTAAAAGTTCAAAATGGATTTTAGCAAGATGAGTCTAAATTATTGTGCAAATATAACAGAAAGTTTGACATTTATCTTTACATGTTCTTCCCATTAAAATGTTCTTAAAATTATGAATTTTGGAAGGCAAATTGAACACTGATAAAAAAATCAAAGGTTCACATGAAATACTCAAGGTTAAAAATTGATGCAATTTAAACTTTCTGTAATATTGAACAACATTTTAATGGTTCTCGCTTTCAATTCTAATTGAGCAATGTTATTTTTCATAGAAAAAAGAGTTAGGGTATGACAAAAAAAATTATAATCCAAGCATCAAAACATGTTTGATATTTGCCTTTTCGTGCTATTGGGTTCTGATGTTATTTTAAACATATCCAATTTAAATCACAAAAACTAATGAAGGGTTTACTTTCAATTTTTCTTAGTCTCCAAGGAAAAAAAAGGAATTCTGAATGGTTAATAGAGGGTAAGAGAGGGTGTATAATCTAGAGTCTACCATGTCCTTAATCTAAGCAGAATTATAATCAAAATTTGATTAAAATTGAAATATATATATAATTAAAATTTATTTGAGGCGTCCTTACATTTAATTCTAGTCAAATATATGAAGAAAGATACCAAAGATTAAATACTCCAGCAGGCATATATAAAAACAAAAATTTAATTTAATTTAATTTGCAGAAATTTGAATTTTTCAATACATTATATGCGGAACTTTTAAAATTGCAAAAATTAAAAAATTTTCAGAATCTAGAAATTATATTTGGGAAGTCTTAATCTTTAATTTAAAAAAATATTATTTTGTTCGCATTTTAAACGAATTTGAAAGATTTAAATATAGCCTTTTGTATACATAATAATAAAAAATGATTATTATTTTGAATTATGTTATTATTATTATTATTATTATTATTATTATTATTATTATTACCATTTTTATTATTATTATTATTATTACTATTATTATTATTATTATTATTTTTATTATTATAATTATTAATTTTATTATTATTATTATTATTATTATTAATTTTATTATTATTATTATTATATTTATTGTTATTATAATTATTGTCAATTTATTATTAATATTTATATTACATTATTATTTAATTCGAAAAAAATATCATTTTAGCAACCTACAAAAATAAATAACTTAAATCATAATTATTTTTAAATTGTTTGCCCTAATAAATGCTTTTAAGAAATATAGTTTCATTTTAAATATAATTATTTTTTATTTTCAAACCGTTTTTAAATTAATACCTTTTAAAATTACAAATGAAATTTCATGTTATTTAAAAGAAAGCGAATCGTTCTATAAGCAAAATCATAACTGCAGGCACATAATGTTCCCAGTTGCCGCAAACCCGCCCATTCCAACCGCCTGCTTCGTATTGCCCCCGGGTGCAGTGTGTCCCCAAGTAGCCACTGCTCGATTTTGGGGTTTTTGTTGTTGTTGGTTGCGTTTGGGTTTTTTGCTTCTTGGGCGAGCATTTAAAAAATGTTCCATTGACCTTTGACGACCACGCACACACGCACACATACACACACAGCTGTCAGGTGGGAGGCTGTGGTTGGGGTGTGGTGGGGCCAATGCCCAAAAGCAAACAGCAGCCACCGCAACTCTGACGACAATAAAAAAGCAGCAGAGCAATTGCCAAATAAATAACTTGACGCTCGCTCAGCGCGTTTATTTGCTTTGTGCTGTGGCGTGGGCTTGATTTTCATTTCAGACGCACACACACAGACCCACACGCCTCCACACGCACACCTATACAAATACAGAGCTCAGGCTCTAGACTGTTGCATATTAAAAGTGCCTCAGCTTCCTGTTTTCCTCCATTTTATTTTCTTTCTGCAGCCATTGCTCATTTGGCTCTGTCTAAAAATCTGAATCTACATGCTCTTGCTGCCCTTCTCTCCCCTCTTCTCCCACCCGCCCCCTTGTTTTTTTCTTGGTTTTTTCATTAATAATATGACACAATTCCTTCAGCATTGTCCTGGCCAGCTGCGCCTGAGAGCACTTTTGGCTTTGACGCCTCCTTATGCTCATTATGCTCATTTGAGGCTTTGTCTTCTATCGCCCCTCTGCAACCGCCTGCGTCCGCCTGCCAAGCAACGTCTTTCTGCTTTTTCTTTCATCATTCATTCATGCAGCACACACACACACACGTTCACCAACACACACCCGCACACGCGTTGAGTTACATCTGCAAATCCAAATGCAAACACAGCAGCAGCGAAAAGGACCAACAAAACAAGAGTGCAATATTCACGTGCGTGTGTGTGTGTGTGTGTGTGTGCGTGTGTGTGTGCCTGTAGATCTCAATTACACATAAATAGATGAAGTCCGTTTGTTTTTGCCTGCAATGCGTGCAGCTTACTAAATGACCTTATACAATAATTAAGATGAGAATGCTTAAATTTAGAAATGAATGAAATTTGTATTATATTTTTTTATATTTTTATGCGTTTAATAAAAACCATTACGATCGAAATCTTTTTATTTTAAATTAATATAAGCATCTTAATATTATAAAAAATCTTACTTGTGATTTCCTAATATGCCGTGGTCCTTTTAAATTTGTTAGATGCTTTGATTTCGGGTACTGTAGTCGGACATACCCTGTTCAGGGTATACACATTAAAAATATTTTTGCTACACAAGAATTTTTTGCCTCTTAACAATCGCCCGATATGCCCATATAACTTGGTCTGTAATTCGATATCGATTTAAGAGGATCAGAACGATTTAACAAGAACAAAAAAAAAACCAAAATCTTGAATGCCAATCGAGTGGATGTACATATTAAAAAAAGTTGAATTGCAACAAGTTTTCAAATACCCTATCTATACACAGGACAGCAACTGGGCTGATTAACCTAGCAACTTTTGCTTTTGTGGCAAAGAGTATTCATTCATTCGTCATTAGTTTCTTTTTTTTGTTGGTTAACTTTCATTTGTTAAATGTTGTTGTTGTTGTTGGGCGACGTCCTTAATTATGTGCCAGAGCCCATGACTGACTGCCACAGTGGCACACTGGCTGAAAGGACACACACGCGGGCACAACTGACAGGCTCGACGGCGGCGGCGACTCGCGACTTGCTCGTTGTCCTTCTCCTTGTTGCTGTCCTGCTGTGTCAAATTGGGCGAGCCTCAGAGAGTGGGGGAGTCAGAGAGAGGGAGATAGAGGCTCGAGACTCAAGTCCTTGTTGCGCTTGTTTTTATCGCTCGTGTTTGGCCGTTCTTGATGAGTGTTGTCGCCTCTTCATTGTTGTTGTTGTTGTTGTTGCTGCTGGTCGTTTTTGAAGAGGGCCGTTGTAGTGGGTGTCATGTCCATTTAGTTGTTGTTGTTGCTGCTGCTGCTGTTTTTCCTGGCACTTTGAGGCGACGCCGCCTGCTTACTGCTTATTTATGTATGAAGGACCTTAAACTTTAGCTGGAAATGAAAATGGCCGCGCACAGCGCACACACACACACACACACACGCACAAAAACCAGATGATGAAACAGGCACAACATTAAAAAAACCACACTGAATACTTTTATTTAATATATCAAAGATGAAATACCCTTGCAGGAATATCTATAAATAATAATTAATTTCATTTTAATTTCATGCTTGCCGAAAACTTAAAGCTTGCAGAAATTCGAATTTTCTAATGCATTACTTGCTGGAATATTAAAACTAGCAGAAATTAGAAATTATATTTAAATTTTCAAATTTTTGGTATTTCTTAAAAATGAAAATTTAAATATAGCCTTTTTTTAGTAGTTTTGTTTTTTATAATTTTTTTTTTTTTTAAATAATTTTGTTTCTTATTATTTTATTATAATACTATTATTATATTATTCTTATTTTGATTTTAATTGTTATTATTGATATCAATATTATTATTAATATTATTTTTGTTATCATTATTTTATATTTATTTTTGCCTATTTCTTTTTTAGCAGGACTTTCCAAAGTGCATTTTATTCTATTCAAATTAAAATTCTCTCTGTAAACGGGAGACTACTCTTTTCAGCATTTCCTCTAATCTTATTTTTAGACAGATTTTTAATCCATTTGATTTAAAAGTCCGCGGTCTCTACAGTATCATAAAAGAATGTGTCCAGCTCAATAATACTTTTTGCTGCTAAGTTTGGCAAAAAAAGGGTGTACCGATCCGATCAACTTAAGCATATGTATTTTTTAAAATACATCAATATCAATTTTGGGTAAGAGTATTATTGCTGACTGCAAAAAGAAAGATATATCATTAGTCCGTTGCAAACAGGTCAACAAGTTTCCTATGCCCAATTGAACGCATTTTAAATAGTTATAGGGTATAATAAAAAGTGGCAACAAAATGGCGTAGCTGCTTTTTAATCACAGACGGCGTCGCAGCTTTTCCTGCCTGCCATTTGCACAGTTTCTCACGTGTGGCAGCATCCTTATTGTCCTTGTTGTTGCCTCTGCTCCTGCTGCTGCTGCTGCTGCCGCTGCCTCTGCTGCTGCTTAGAAACAATGCGCACATTTTTGTAGCTTGGCTGCGTTTCCATAACCTTCGCTACATGAAAATGAGAAGAGAAAAACAAAAATGGAAGAAAATTTAAGGTTAAAAAATATCGTTTTATTATTGTTGTGCCACTTAATTTGAAACTAGGCCAACGCAAAGGTTGTGCCCCCAGCTAAAATGAGAAAAGGTCACAGTTACACATATCTAACTCAAAGCGGTTGGACATTTTGAAAGGCTTTTATCTATCTAGGGGCTAAGAAATGACGTGGCCTTAGGCGAGAGCGGAAAATATGGTGGAGCTTATCTATTTATATACAGATAAAATATGGCTAGTAAAAAATTTCATTTTGGTTGTTTTTTTAATTCTTAAATATATTAACTACAACTTTTAAGTTTCATATCTCTTCTGGGTCAAAATTATTTTGAATTGTCTTTAAGGTTCGCCTTTCGATTGTTGTTTTTTATTATTAAAATATTTTAAAGGCATTTCTAAATGTTGAACATGCATTCTTGACAATAATACACGGGTGTTATTTCGCGTTGCTCAGACTAGATTTTATTCTTCAAATTGTCAACATCACTTTTCCATTTTATATATATCTTGTAAGTTACCTTTTCTACCTAAAGCATAGATTATTGGCAATCGTTAAAGCACTTTAATTCTGTAATTCAATTCGTTTGCGTTATATTGAAATCAACTAATTTTCGTCCATTTTACAAAATCCTATTTATTTTGTATAATCTGCAATGAAAATATGTTTGCCAGTTAGACAAAAATTTGACTTGCTTCCATATTTTATTTGTCTGTTTTCCACAATTTGAATGTACTTTGATTGGGATACCTAAAATACCTAATAAAAAGATTCAGTAAAAAAATATAAATTTATCAATTCATTTTGATTTTAGAGGCAGATTGATTTTAGCTGCAGGCATTGCAGTCAAAGAGTAGTAAAACGAAATATACACCAACTGCCATTAAAGGTGTACAAATGTTTGAATTTAATAAAAATATATTTTATCTCTCAATCTGAGTTTCTTTTCGGACTGAATAAAAATTAAATTAAAATCAATATTAAAAGATTTGTGCCAATTAAGAAAAATTACTTCGGCAAGCCTAAATTTAATCATTATTTTATTTATAAAATAAATTAATTAATATAATTTGGCTCTTTTTGGTATAGAATACCCGTTTTTACCAAAGCATACTTTTAGGAATATTTTGTAATTCTCGAAGGTATTTTTTTTTAGTGTTTAGTATTTTTAACCAGCATTTGATGCTGGTTTTATTTATTATTATTCAGTTTTTTATAGCTTTTTCTTTATTATTATTTTGTATTTTTACTATATCTACTTATCTTTAACTTTTTACTGCTCAACGGAGAGTTGAACTCTAATTCATAATTAAAACGATTGTCTAATCATTTGGGATTTGCACACAATGTGCTCACACTAAGTTGGCCAAGACCGTGAGTTGGCTCAACACTTTGCTAGTTAAACTGTCTGTCCACATACAGAACACCCCAAGCCCTGGCTTCTGTTCGCTCTCCCTTCCCCTAGATGGTTACGTGCCTGTGCATTGAGCAGCAGATGTCACATGGGGTTGCTGAAAGTTTTTGCCGTGCGCAACTTGGATAATTTAAGAGTAAGGGTTAGAGGGAGCTGTGGGGCTGTGGCTTAGTGTGTTGGTGTGTGTAAAGGATGTACCTTGCGTTCTACGTGAGATAATGCAAATTTATGGCTGGCAATTAGCGGGTCGCGAATCGTAACCAAAGCCAAGGCAATAACTCAAGCGTGCGAACTTCGACTAGGCCCAAAGTTTTGGCCTAATTGCAGTTGCCAAAATCTCGGACAGGGGGTTGGTAGATTGTGCATTCAACTGCCAAGCCAGAATTCAGTTAGCGAGTGCTCTGAACATTAATTAACACAGGCGACGCGTCGCATATGTTTGTGCTGCAGATAAAGATACAAATGGGGTTAAGAATGCAGTTGCAGATACAAATAGAAGTGCAGAGTAAAAGCAAGAACAACAACTATCTATGTCGCAATCGGCCACCAAAAATGTATCTAACTATTTCACCTTTCACGGGCAATATGTATGGAATAGTAATTTAAAGGATGTTCTTCATATAAGAACAGCTCTGAGTTTCCATATAGCTTCAAACTGATTTGCGTACAACATTCTCTTGGCTGTTTCTTTTAGTGTATCTATAACTAGTATATGTATCTGTATCTGTTCGCTACAGGCGGAGCGCAAGGCATCAGTTGCAATCTAACTTCAATTCAATTATTTTAGATTAGAATGTGACTGTGTCACAAACACACAAAACACACACACGCACACACTTGTGTTTCTCTATGTCAGCTGTCATTCAACCGTTCATATGTTCATTTTGTTTGGCTCGCAGGAGCGACAGGCACGATTGGAAGACAGAACGCAGGATACGTGCCCCGTGACGCTCGGTTCTGCATTGACAGTTCTGTTGTTGTGCTCTGTCCATCAGCTGTGAGTGGGACTGTGCGGGCTGTAAATGTGCTTAGCGGAAAAAAATGTGAGCAAAGAAACCCTATGGCACTGTCACAACAGATCCGACAATAACGCTCCGCGTGACGTCAGAACTACATATTGGGTTTTGGGTTTCTCTATTCGAGAAATATTTTTAGCAAACATATTTTTAACGAATATTTTTACAAACATTAGAACGCAACTAGCTTACATCTATGTATGTAATTTATTTTTTATCAAAGTATCAATGTTTGCTTATCTGGTTTGATGTTTATTTTTTATAAAAGTTATACATTTTATTTTATTTTATTTATTTGTGTCTATTATTTCTGCTTTGCTTTTCTCATGGATCCAACTGCTTACAAATCATAATTAAAAATCATTTTAATTATGGCCATTATTAACATTTAATTCTATGACACCCTCACAATACTAAGAAAACAAATTCTACCTACAATGCCTTTTCCACTGACCTGCATATGGAATCTATGTTCCAAACAGGTAAAGGCCACTGCTACAGGTAGACAAAATAGCTATCGAAAGGAACAAAGTGTGTTTTCATGTAAGCATTCCTGTTTGAACAGGTTTCTCATGCCGAAACCCTGAGATATGCCTTGTCCAAACGTTCCTTGTTTTATTTCCTTTGATAACACTAGAATGCTGAAAACCTTCTCTATAAATAAGCAATAACAAATTCGCAAAGGCAAAACAGTTAGTTCCGCTCTGGCGCCTCTTTGTGAGTCATAAAGCAATGCGTTGTGAAAAAAACACAAATGTATCTTTTATTTAGTGCAGATGCAGCTATTTTCCAGCTTATCATCATCTTATATGCGGGTGCGATTTAAGCGACTTATTCAGCGGGTACTATGATAAAGTCAGGCATCCAACCCAACCACCCAACCAGCATTTGTATTGTCTGCTGCTACAGCCAGCAACAGCTGAGTGACCTTTGACAGCATCTCAGATAACACTACACAACATGATATTTGAGACTTTGAGTATGTGCCAGCAATAACAACCGTAAGAACAAAATAATAAACTATAATAATTATGAAATAAAAAGTAACTAAAAATAAACGCTTTAATAAATATAACAATTTAAACAATAATTATTTTTAGTTATATTGAGTATGATTTTTTGTTGTGTTTGTATTTGTTTTTAAATTTTATAAATAATTTAAAAAATATAACAACGAAATTATACAAAATATAATACAAAAAGGTAATAAAAAATGCATTATCAAATAAATAGTAGAAACGTATAGTAAATAATATAATAAAATATAAATAATATATGCTGAAAACGAATATTAAATATTAAAATAAAATATAAATATTATTATATATAAAATTTATACATGCGGCAAATTAATGCAATTAAATTACATTTTTTAAAAACGATTTGCTATGCTTTTTATTAAAAAAATGCAATAAAAATGCTTTTTCGATATATCAAAATATTGTCAAGCGCAGAGAAATTTAATAAATGAAATATTTTTTAATGTAGAACATTTTAATTTAGCATTCGTTCTAGGCACTCGCCTTTCTACAATTTCGACTTATTTTTGTGCACATTGTCAATGCATTGACTCAAGAAATGCTCACATTTTGTTGTCTAGTGTATTTTACGATATGCATTCTTCGAGTGCCCGGCCTGTCGCGCTATATTGATGCATTGCAACCCTCCTCGGCTACACTTATCAGAGGGACAGAGCGATTGCTGTGTGTGTGTGTGTGTTTGTGTGTGCGAGGGGAATAGAGCAAGGGTCGCCCTGGAACTTATCTAGCGGCGGATGTTGTTATTGTTTTCACAATTTTTGGGCAGCCCTCGAGCTGAGCATCGTCCGCTCGGGGCAAGTCAGTGCTTAAGTGAAGCTCGAATCGAACGGTTGACAGAATGAGAACCAACTGCCTGACTCTCTGCATGTGGCTGTTGGGCCTGCTGGGCACAAGTGTGGCCCTCAGGGAACACTACTGCGAACGGAATGTGACGACAAGCAGCCTGGTGCCCGTGACGAAGCAGCGAACGGTCATCAAGCAGCCCTCCAAGTGGAAGCTGTGGAAGAAGGCTCAACGCATCACCGAGTTCTACAATACGCACGAGGAACAGATTACCTATAAACTAATCTCTGAATGCTGTCCAGGCTATATGCAAGTGGAGTCCGGCTTGTGTGAGCCCATTTGCGAGCGTGGCTGCCCGGCCCATGCCAGCTGCGTGGCGCCACAGCGTTGCCAGTGCACCGCCGGCTATGTCTCCGCTGTCGCGCATCGCGATGGCAGCCACTATTGTGAGCCCGTCTGTGAGCGCACCTGTCCCACGGGCTCGCAGTGTGTGGCGCCCAACACATGCGCCTGCAAGCCCGGCTACCAGTCACTGCCACCCACCGGCGATGGTGTGAGTGGGCCCTGTGCGCCCGTCTGCCAGCTGGGCGATGGCTGCACCAATGGTCAATGCGTCGATGTGGAGCGTTGTGTCTGCAATCGTGGCTATCAATGGAATGCGGATAGACACAGCTGTGAGCAGCAGAGCGAGGAGGAGATGCTGCTGCTCTCGAATGATGACGTCACCGAACTAGAGGAATACCTCAGCAGTGGCACAGCCACAACATCAACGATTGCCGCCGCCGCCGCCGCCGCCGACTGCGCCGAGGGATTTGTGTTCTATGCGGGCGAATGTCGTGCCGAGTTCTTTGAGAGCAATGAATCGGTGGTGGTCAAGGATTGCCGCCAAATGGGCTGTGGTGCACATCAGAGCTGCAACGAGCAGGGCAACTGCAGCTGCAATGCGGGCTATGTTGAGGAGCAGCAGCAGGGGAATGCGAATTCGACGCTCACCTGTCGTCGCGGCCTGCTGGAGCAGCTGTTGAGCATCGATCAGGCTGCCGATGATGAGGATGAGCTCAATACGCTAACTATACCCATTGTGGGCGTGGCCACGGGCGCTTTGCTTGTCCTGCTCATTGTTGGTCTGATTGGAGGACTGCGTCGACGTCGCGGACACGAGCCGAACGAGTCGGTGGAGCCCAAGGAACCGGTGCTTCAATGCGAATTCACCCAGAAATCCTACGATGTGGACGAGTGGGTGCCATGAGCGGAGTTACAGAAGCAACAGGTGCAGCTGGAGGCAATAGTTAGGCGTCTGTGTTACTGGAGTATTGATTGTTAGCACCTAAGTTAGTCATAATAAATGTTTTAGATTGTTTGTAGAGTACAATTTTGGATGCCTATAAATTTAAAGAAATATTTTTAGTACTTCTGGATTTTCTACTCCACAGTTGCTATTTACTCTTCTTGTGGCAAGTACTAACAAACTAACTAACAGATAGAGAACTAAAAGTAAAAGGAGGGAAATTAAGATGAAAGAAGCAGGATAATCAAAATTTAAAGAGAGAAAGTGAGAAAGAGAGAGACAGCACAGACCTTAAAATGTTTACGTTGGTCCGTTTGCTCAGAGTATTTTCCATGCCTAAAATTCGAGTTCTCTTCTGAGCTAAATATCGCTCTCTCGTACGGAGCAGGTAGTTCTTTGTGTGTATTCAGTTATTTTTAACATTTTTATTGCCTTCGCAGTGGTCGAATTATGAGCTAGTTTTTGTGTTGCAATATATGATATAGTATTAAGCCAATGTATTCAGTTGAATGAATAAATAACAAGTATCTACAATTTGTATACAAACATATTTCTTTCAGCAATAGCTTAACAGCTTTTAATTCATTTATTCAATTTTTGTTTTTTACACCATGTGCTTACTGTTAATACAAATAAATCCATTTTGCATTATTGAAAGTTTTGAAATCTTTTTAATTTTTTTTTTATTTTACTGTTCAAGCTGGGCATAACATTCGAGGAATAGGGAGTAGGCTAAGGCTTCCATTCCTTTTTGAAATCATTCTGTTCACAAGCTGCAAATTACTTAAATAAGCTATAAATCTATGTTTTTTTATTTATTTATCTATCTGATTCTCAATATTTCTCATAATATTCAATATTATATTCAATTAAATCTCAGCATAATATACTGATTCATGCGCTTTGACTTTAGACTTTGTCTCTCTCAGTTCTGTGTGATATTTATGTCCGCCCAAGGACAGTCTGATAAGCGACATAAATTACAGAGATTTATCAGCGAGCATGCAAAGACAATAGTCTTTTTGTGTCCATATGCTATACAAGAGAGCAATTAAAATTAAATGACAATTTTATCAGCCGCTCAACGAGCAGAGAGCACGAAATATATGCATATGTACTCAGAGAAAGTTCTTGGGAATTTATAACTCCTTGTTCTAGTAATTGTAAAGTATATTTTGTTTGATTTTAAAACTGACATGAAATGCTACTGAATCTAAAAAGAAAAGGCTTGGATTAAATAATATTCACAAGAAAAAGCAAACGTAAAAAAAGCGTTCTTAATAATACTGACATTAGGTAATATTGGAAATTTCCCTAATTAAGAATTTAGTTCTTGGTTTCCTTAAATACAGCAGAAATTCTTATAAGTACTAAGGATTTGATTCTTAGATGTGTGTTTTTTGAGCTTACTTCTACGTTCAGCTTAGCGCAAAGTATATTTTTATTATGTTTATCTTTTAATTTAGAACGATTCATCAACATTTAACTAGACATATTTCATTCTAAAAGTAACCACAAATATCGCGCATTTATCGCCCAAAAGAGGCCAACCAATTGGTTCCCCGAGCAGTCATATATGCACTCATCTGTCGATTACGGGCATATATAAATAAAAAATTCATAAAAGGGACGCACGAACAAGAAAAAAAAAAACTTAAAAATGGCTAAAAATACGCACAATCACACGCACGCACACACACACTCACACACCAAGGCATATGTATGCCTGCACACAGACGCGCACACACACACACACATAAGCACACAGAGTCCGCCTGTCACTCTCGCTAATGTAGCTGAGAGTTTTTTGTAGCCATCGCTTTAATATCCATAGCAATTTTTTATCAACTGCAGATATATGTGTGCATATACATATATACCATATGCAAGTGTGTGCGTGCGTGTATCTGTGTGTCGCTTGTATCTGTATCTGGCGCTGTAGGCTTTAGCTGTAGCTGTATCTGTATCTGTGGCCTGTATCTGTAGCTGTGACAGTAGCACAAAGATCTTTTAGCCATAATCGCTGCACATTTATATTTTTTTCGCACTAAGCCACACACACACTCACATGCGAGAGCTTTAAGGTGCGCAATAGACAGAGAGAGAGAGAGACAGAGTCAGAGCGAGAGCGAGAGAGAGCGCGCAAGCCGCAGTGCGTGAGAGCGCGTAAACTTCGGCAGGCAAAATCTTGGGCAAAAATTTCAAAAAAAAACAAGAAAACAAATACACAGAAAAAAGAAAACAAAAAGACAACCAAGCGAGCAATTTCTGACAGCAGCAGCCAGCTACCCGACCCGACCCCACACCCTCCGACCCTCATTCCTCCAACTTTTCCCATAGCTCCAGCGTTCCCTCACGCTTCGGCCCCCCTCAACGCCAGCACATTTCCTGTGGCGTTGGCGTTGGCCCTCACAGCAACAAGGATACTTAAAGCTTCTTTAATTTTTATGTTGTTTTCTCTTCTCTTTGTCGGCGCGTTGAGTGCGTCTGTGTCCCACTCTGTGTGTGTGTGTGTGTGCGTGAGGTTGTTTGTGTAAGTGTGTGCCTCAACCATTCTCTTTGATTGCTTTTGTGCGTGTGTATTTGTATTGGTAACCTTTGCTGGCAGGGCCCACATTTTGCGTGGGACGTTGCCCAAGGACATGGATCCGTTTGCCTCGTTTGCCATTTGCTTTACTATTCTTGCTGCTGCTGCTGCTGCTGCTGCTTCTTCTTCTTCTTCGAGCTTCTCTCTTGCACATATATATTTATTCTCTTTTTTTAATGCCCACTTTCTTATTTATTTATGATTTTTCGTTTGCAACATTTATTTTTGGCCAAACGCTAAAAATGCGGCCAACGCCAACTGCCAGACCTGCATTTAATTGAATCAAGTCTGGACTGTTGGAAATTATTGACAGAAATTTGTAATGTAACGAAATTTTAGAAAAATCTACAAGTAAAATATAGTTAAGCAAAGTTTTTGCTATTAGATTGGAGAATAATATCCGTTTGCTGCACGGTTTTATTTAACTTTAATTCCTCTCGAATCTCTGACTCTAGACAGCGACTTTAATGCACATCCTTTTGCTGCCAGGCTGGACTTAGGTGCTTAATTGAATCCCATTCTAGGTACCCGAGATAAGCCACCTAAACTAACTTCAAAATAAGCAGTGCCTAAGCTTTTCATCTAGGTAAGTTAGGTTATTTTAATTGATAACTTATAGGAGAACACATTCTTAAGCTCTGTGCATTTTTGAATATTGCTCCCTTCATCTGTAGGGAAAGGAAGAGAGCGAGAAGGAGATATCGACAATGTTTAGTTATCAAATTCATATTCGTGAGACATGCGTAAATTTTAGGTTTTATCACGCATTCTTTTAAATGTATATATTTTTAAATTCTCTCTTTTTTTTCAAATGTAGACAAGGCTTGCTTAAAAAGAGTGCAGTCTGATTTGAACTGATCTTAGTTTGAGCTTGGGTAGGGGGTTCAGAAAAGCTTGAAGCATGTATCAAGTATTTTTTATTTAAAAGTGTTCTATAAACTCTAATTAAAATAATATTTGTCACTAGGCACGCCTTAGGCTGGCACATTAAAGAATAGTTTTTAGTATTTCATTTGAAGAATTGAACAATTGAATCCAACACTTGTCATAACAATATATATATTTCATATTCGCCGCCTTTGCTGTGCTTTTTACAGCTCAGAGACTGTTTGTGAGTTTATTGTTATTTTATGATGTGCACATTGATTTATGAAGCGCAAAAAGAAAAGAAAGGCTTCAGAAAAGCTTGAAGCATGTATGAATGTTAACGTATATATATCTTAGAAAATGGGTAGAGCTAATCGTTGTTATTTAGGTCGGGATAATGAATATGCTGGAGAAGAGTGATATTCGCATACATAAGCTCGGACAAACGAACCGTAAGGATGCTGGTTCAAATCCCAGGCTGGTGAAAGGATGAAGTTTCTTACATTGACTTATCAAGTATTTTTTATTTAAAAGTGTTCTATAAACTCTAATTAAAATAATATTTGTCACTAGGCACGCCTTAGGCTGGCACATTAAAGAATAGTTTTTAGTATTTCATTTGAAGAATTGAACAATTGAATCCAACACTTGTCATAACAATATATATATTTCATATTCGCCGCCTTTGCTGTGCTTTTTACAGCTCAGAGACTGTTTGTGAGTTTATTGTTATTTTATGATGTGCACATTGATTTATGAAGCGCAAAAAGAAAACAAAATTTCTGCCAAAATTCTTAACGTAGAAATTCCCCAAAGTTGCAGCTTATTTGCTTTCCCTCTGCTCGCTTATTTTTGCTGATTTTCTTTTATGACTGCATCTTGAAATTGCAGCTGCACTGATAGAGATGAAGAATAATAGCAACGCCCAGTTGCGTGCTGTTGGGTATACTCTATATACTTGTTGATGCGGCAGCCATACACACACCAACACACACCAACACACACACATACACACACACACAGATAGCAGCTGCTGCAGCTGCAAAAATGCATTGTCAGAAAGTAGGTCGCTGCTGCTGCTGCTGCTGTTGATGCAGTTGCCTGTGTAAAAGAAATGCAAAACAGTTATCAAATATTAACCACTAGTTGCGCTCTGGCTGCATGCCACGCCCACCAGCGCCCAATTAACTGGCGAGTTTTGTTAGCTACTTTATGGCCAGAAGTTATTTCTTTCCCTTCTCTGTTTTGCTAGGGCTGCAACTTCAGTTATGCCACTTTGCCGTCACGCCCAGTTTAACAGTCCGTGCTGGGGCAGCATCAGCAGCAACAACACACAGCTGACCTATTTTCGCCACTTACCCACCAACACACACCAACACACACACACACACACACACACACACACACACACACACACACACACACACACACACACACCAACACACACGCAGCTTTTCATATTACTTACAGCTAAAGCATGCGAGAGATACACACACAGTTACAAGGCGAGCGCAGCATTGCGTATACGGCGCGTATGTATACATATGTATATGTAAGCCAAATGCATGGCTGCATCTGTGTGTGTGCGACCAGGTGTGCGTGCATCTGTGCGAGTGTGTGTGTGCTGTGCAATGCAATGTGTTTCAATAACCATTGCTGGCGTTGCGGGCGTTTTTCATAATTTGCAAGCCCATGTATCCTGCATTTTATTGTCAAGTTGTGGCAAGGCCACGCCCACATGGGCGCAGCTGCAATTAAATACAGCAAAACACACGAGCACACATACACACACACAAACACACACACAGGGAGCTCAGTACACA